CTATAAATACCTTCTAATTACCTGAGTTAAGGGATTTTGGGAGAAATTAGAAAGACTAGACCCAGAGCTGCCCAACCGTACCCGGTCGGTCCTCGAGTTTAGTCGGATAGGTTCTCTTTAGGACCACGTGTATTAACACTATCACACTGCTTCAAAAACATACTTCTCAAATCTAAAATAAATAAATATAAATAGACTCATACTAAAGAGACTCAATGATGTAAATGTCTGATCACCATGCTCTTGGAAACTGAAAGGTCTCCAGCAGCATTCATACTTCCAAGATAACATCATAGATTTTGAAATCTAGTTTTACATTGTATATAAGCCTCTGTCGATGGAGACATCCACTCCCAACTTCACCATATCTTCAGTTCGAATCACCTGCCAATTAGAAAAACAAAAAAAAAAAAACAAAATATCTGCAAAGAAACCATGCCAATGTATGCTGCTGTAAAGATATTGGCCCTCTAGATAGGAGAAAGCAATAAGAGTAAAGTGTGTTAGATGTTATGAAATAGCTGAAAATAGAGGCTCTACAGAGATAAAGAGTCAAGAAGTTTTGGTCTGCGATGAAGAGGTATTTTATTTCACTGTTTAATATTTTAGTTCACTGTTTAATGTTTAGGCTCTACACAGATTTATGCTCTACCAAATCGAGGCTCTAAACATATTTTTGATGTACACAGTTTTTTTCTGTTCATTGTTTAAGGTTTTCCTTATGCTAATGTTTTATTTATTTCACTAATCTTATGTGCAGGGAACCTTCATTCATTTGAATATGCAAAACAATGATGTAAAAAAATACAAAAATATTTTCAGAGAAGGGAAGCTCTATTTAGTCAAAAAATTTTTGGTGTTCACCCACTATTATATGTACAAAGCTTGTGATCACAAATATATGATCAGGCTAAACTATAAAACTCAGGTAAAGGCAATCAAATCCAAAGGTTTTCCTACTAAAATGTTTCAGCTAAAAAGCTATGACTCTTTGAAAGACCCTACTCAAGTCAATCACAAGGTGCTGTTTGGTAAGTATTTTGTTCTTATTTTTGCTATTTTTCATTCAACTATATTAGTATTTGGTCTACTATTCATTTATTTTCTATTTATACATATTTAATAGGCAGAGTGGTCGAGATCCATGCTCCTGTTGAAAAATCATAGGAGGTAGACCATCCAAACTACTAGACTTTAAAATGGCTGACAATGAGTAAGTTTCATACTAATAAATCTGTTCCTATATTTCCAGTGATTATATTTTTTCTAACACACTTGCCTATAGGGGAAATACCTTACAGTGCACTGTGTGGGACAGTCATGTTGGTGCCATGCTACCATACTATGATGCAGGTCTTAAAGAACCACTAATTTTGGTTTTTCAGCTTTGTCGGGCCAAGGTGGTCAATGGTAAGTTATAATCATACATTATTCTTTTACAGTATTTCTAGGTTTTCCATTGTTCATTAACACCTATCATGCTAATAGGTGAAATCAGAATCACTAGCTGCTATGATGCTACCCAACTTCATTTCAATGCATCTTACTAGGAATTTGCTGATTTTAGGTCTTAGTAAGTGCCTGAATTTTATGTTTTATCTACACTCTACATTTTCTAAACTACTATATCAGACATTTATACAACTGTGTATTAATTTTACCTGTAGGTTAACTGCTGCAAACAGTCATTTACACAGTATCAGTACTGCAACAGTGCTGTCTCAATCAACAGGAATTGATGACTCTACGAGTGGTGCTTTGACTGTAACTAAAGTAGTTAATCTATTGAAAAAGAAGCAGGTTAGACTCTATGGTTCTAAAAACCATGAATACAATCCACAAAACTAATTATAGGTTAAATAAGATAGATTACATAACACAGAGTAACCAAGTGATTTCAAAAAAATTGTAGAATGGGGAATTCTATGTTTCTGCTAAAATTGTGGTCATTGAAGGTTCTTTTGGATGGATGTACATCTCTTGCATGTCACTAGGATGTAACAGAAAGCTTTATGAACAAGTAGGTGATCTGATTTGTACAACTTGTGATAAGAAAATATAAAGAAGGAATGGTCAAGTATCGGGTCAAAGTTATTGTTCTAGATAAAGGTCTAGGAGATGTTCCCTTCCTTTTATGGGATAGGAGTGTTCTGAATTAGTTGGTATCCCAACACACAGTTTGTACACAAAGTATAATAAAGTAAAGTTACATTACTTTTAAATTTAAACACATACATATAAAGTCTTTTTTATTTGTCTTTTTTAAAAGTATGCTATTTTCTGTATGTTAAGTTTCTGACATTCCAAAAGAATTGGAATCATTAGTGGTATGAGAATGGTAGTTAAGATATCATTAAAAATGGAGTTCATGAAGGGAGCAAATTCAGCCTACACTGTTATGAGAGTTCTAAGGGATGAAGCCTTAGTCCTAGCATACTGTTCTAAACTGATTAAAGACCAAGACAAGGATTTGATATCAAAAATGATAGATGAGGACGAAGAGGAACATGAGGAATCAGATCAGGTATTATTGTTACTAAAGTAAAATCATTTTTTACATTTTTAATCCTATGTTTGACATGTTTTAGACTAAACTTTATTTTAATATACATGAAGCTTCTAATGGAGACAATGAGGTCAATAGTCCATTAAGTATACAACAGTCTCAAAGGCTAGACAATGAACTTGAAGATTCTAATGGTGTGAGGAGATCGCTTTTGGGCCAATTCTCCTCCTCTTGCAAGAAGGGAAAAACTGTTGGCTGTTTAACAAGAAAAACTTTAAGATCTGGGAGACTACAGACTATTACCACATTAGTGTGGTTTTTTTATCTTTTTAGACTAATCACTTACCCTGCTCAATTTCACTGTGTTTGTGCTGAACAATTTCATTTTGTTTGAATCTATGATTAGACACTTTGCCTTTGTTATTTACCTATGAGAGCTACAAGTTGTCTTGGGAAGAAAGAAGAAAGCTAAGGAGATTTGGTGAGAATTACTTGGTTATTCTTGTACTCTCTTTGATTATTTGTAAACTCTTTATTTTATTATGAATTCTAGTTTAGCCATGCTCGGCTAAACACTTAGATTCTTGGGTTAAAGTATTTATGAACCTTTGTGCTTAGTTCTCATAATCTTTAATATATTATTATTTGGGTTTTATGCTTGTATTGCAATTGTGATTATATTGTTGTGCTAGTAGTTCAGAGCCTGAATTACTTGTTTCATAGCTTTAATTTATGTCATAACGGAAGTTAGACATAATTGAGAGTACACACAATTGCATTTAATTGTTGCACATTTGGGAGAGGGCAATTATGTTAGGGAGTTTAATTCTTGATTATTGCACATCGAGAGATGATAGTAGTTAGGAGTTATTATGAATGCTTGTTCTTATATTGTTGGGTGTTTATATCACGGGAGTGAATATTTACTAGGTTAGAGATTACGTGAGTAACTCTATACAATATTTGCATTCTCACACTTGTTTAAACCCAGTTTTAATAATGTTCATAAGGTTGGCACTAGGTGATTAAATACTTGAATCCCAGAAATCTCATTCTCTCTCTATTGTTTTCGCAAACCTACTACCTTTCTTTTAAATTAGTTTTATATTTAATCAACCATCCATGATTTTCGTTAGATTAGCTTCACAAGAATAAATTAGTAGCTAGTGCTTGATACGCCTCACTTCCCTGTGGATTGGTAACCCGATACTCCGTGTAATTATTTGTTTTGAGAAATATACTAACAATCAACCGTTGACTCGCTTCTCAGACAAAATCAACACTTTTCGTCGCTCTCGCCTCGTCACTTTGGCTGGAAAGTGCAATTAAGCGCATGTTATATCATGTAGCTGTGCCTTGCTCAGGCGACGCCTCGCCTCGCTTTTGCACTTAAGCTCAAAAAGCGCTTGCCTTTAACAAGTTTGATCTTAGGTTGCGAGATGCTATGATTGAAGAGATGAATGCTTTAGATCACAATGGTACCTGGGAATTGATTACTATGCCTGCGAGTAAGGATGTGTTTAGAAACCCGGAAAATGATTTCTGGAAATCATTTTCCGGGTTTTCAAGTGTTTGGTAGGAAGGAAAATACTAAAGTCAAAGGAAAATGAAGTTATTCAATGGAAAATTCATACACTTTTCCGGAAAATGACTTCCCCTTTCTTTGAGGGGAAGTCATTTTCCGCGTTTTTCTTCTTCTTCGCACATCGTTATTTCCTCATTTCGCACAATCATGGAGACTTTTTGTTGCGCCGCTTCCTTCTTGACCAACGGAAACCTTTGCCGCGCCGCTTTCTGCTCGACCACCGAAAACCTTCGTCGCGCACTTCCTTCTTTCGACCACCGAAACAGTTTCCGACTTGGAAACCTACAGATCTGGTTTTCCACGTCGAAAACCAGTTTGATTTTCCGACTTGGAAACCAGAGGGTTCCAAGAATGAAACCAGATTGGTTTCCTTGCCGGAAACCATGCTCTGGTTTGGTTTCCGCGATTGATTTCTTGCTGGAAACCAAACCAGTGCTTTGGTTTGGTTTCCGACAAGGAAACCAAAAATTTTATTTTTAAAAAAAAAATAAATAAATTGTTGTTTGGGTTCTAAATGGGTTAAAAGATTATAGGACAAACTAATTTCTCTTCGCATTGGCATTATAATAATCAAAATGGTGAAGTATACAATTTTGTTCATTTTCCTACTCATTTTCTGAAAAATGAACCAAACACAGTTTTCTGTTGTGCAGCCAAACACGGGAAAAGAAAATATTTTTCCGAAAATGAGTCATTTTCCAGAAGTAATTTTCCTGCTTTCTAAACGGACCCTAAAAGACCAACTGGAGAACAATTAAAGGATCTATTCACAAAGGCCCTAAATAGAACTTGAGTTTGTTATTTGTGTAACAAGTTGGCCATAATTAACATCTATGTACCAACTTGAGGGAAAGTGTTATGGAATGTACATATATTATTAGGTAGCATGGAAATTTATAAGGAATTCAATAACATAAGGAAATAATGTCTTATTTCCTTCTTAGAGGTCTTTTAGATGTACATATAGAACTGTGTATTCACCTTTCTATTCACTGATTCAGAAACCTTCTCTTCACTTTCTCAGGCACTGACAATACCACAGTTGAATGCATTACAGCTCACAATACGAGCCACAGAAAGGACAAGGACAATGAGTGTTGTCAAATTTCAGCTTGATTGATTACGTACTACACAATTGGGCATATGTACAAAACAATTAACATATCCTCTTTTTCTCCAACATTGTCATGATAAGTTTAGCCACTCTTTTAATTTGTTTAAAAATCTACCTTAGGCTACTTTGGTGCAAAAGATGCACATGGCACCGGCCTTGCTCTTTAGCCTGGTCAATTGCAGACAAAAGTGTGTGTAGAAAGTCCGTTGCCCTTTCTTTTGATGTAAAGAGCAAGTCAGTTTGGAATAATGGAAGAGGAGCACGAGGATTATTGTTCCAGCTTCGCTTGCCTTCTGTTCCCCAACCTCTTTTCTGCTGATTCTGCTTCATTACTATATCTGACCTACTTCCTATGATATGCACCACCTCACCATCATTATCAGCATGGATGATGCTATCCATTCCAATCTCCATGTCTATCACCCATTCCAGGTTAGCAGGAACTCCACGAAACTCGGGCTTACCCAAATTTTCCAAACTTTTGCTACTGACAACTAAGATGAGTCTCTCAGTGATGATTACAAATCTCCCATCCTCTTTGAGTGCATTACAGATGACTAGGACCTCATCCTTGAGATTTAAACTATCATCAACCTCCTGGAGTACAGATGATCCAATTGCTTCCTCCCAACAGTATGGCCTCAAGGGGTATTCCCTGCTTAAATGCCTTGGCAAACGAACCCTAAAGCGGTGGCATCCACTGTGATGCCGCTTGCTCCAATTTCTAATGCTTTGTGCTGTTTTACCAGTGATATCAAGGACACTAGCAGTAGGTTTTGCCACGAGTCCCGTCACACCAAGGGCTATACCTGGAACAAAGGAAAATCTTAAAACATGAATTAAACCTCTCACGCAGCTTGCAAACACCATTACCACAGCGATAAATTAATCTAGAAATTAATCTTCAACTAGTAAGTAATACCTGAGACTACTCCTGGAAGTCCATGTTTTTCAGCCCCTTTATAGGTGATTGTAGTAGACCAGTTAGTCCCTGAGTATCAACACAACAAACTTCAAAAAAGGTAAAAACAAGGAGATAAAGTAAACTTGCAAGACTCAGAACTTTCTATATTACTATACAGCCATACAGGTTAAATTATTTGATGAGGTGTACTAAGAAATTCTAGCACGTCAGTGCCATGAAAAGTAGACAAATCAAACAAATAAAAAGAATGGATAAGAAGAGGAAACTAAAATCAATGTAGCTATGAAGTGCAAGCAAATACCTCCAGGAATTCATTTATTACACCTTTACTCTGGGCGGATATTCCTTTCTGGGTCTATCCATATTTGCTATACTGTGGTCATCAAATGTAAATGCAACAATGCCCTACATTGTTAAGGTTGAATTGCATTTTAGATAAAATAAACACAGGATTTACAATTCTCAAGTGTTAGACAAAGGCAATCATAAACCTTCTGTGCAGCCTTGCTAAATTGAGTGGCTGTATCACTTATTGCATAGACAGTGTTGCTCAAGAGACTGGAGGTGCCTTGTGCCATGCCTTTAATAAGTCCTGCACGACTCTGCAGAAGCAATTTTGAGCCTAGTATTAGAAGAGAAAATTTGATTAGTGAACAAATCATATACGTATAGTACCTGGAAAACACTTTGCAAAGGAGCTGATAAGAAAT